TAATTATTCTAATGCAAAAACATACATAATGATTATACAAAAATCATATGGCATATAAAATTACATGCATCTATATTTTCTAGAACTTTGTTAATTAAAAATAAAGAAATCCAATTATTTTTTTTAAAAAAAGCATATAAAACCTTGGATCAGACGGCCATTATCCTGCTTATATTCAATAGTACTCATTCATTAGGCATTTTTAAATCATGTTCAACGGTATGTTTATTTCCTGATGAACGAGCATTATCAGGCCAGTAATGTAAATAACGTGAAACATTTTGAAGTTAGGCCTCAATATTCGTGTGACACATACTTATAAGATGCTAGAGGTAGAAAGTAGAAGTAGACGAAGCCTTTTATTTTATAAATGTCTTCAATGAGAAATAAGAAAGCTGGTATAGATATGAAACAACACATTTTATTGTTTGTTATGCAAAATGTTGTATCGTGAACCACCATTATTTTTGTTACACACTGTATAATTAATTGAGTCAATAGATGATTTTTTAATTTGTTAAATCAAACCGGAGTTTATAGTTATTTTTAGCTTTTTAAATCATAAATTATTTAAAATTTTGTTAGTGTAATACAAATCTAATCTATCGTATACCTATTAAAACTTCTAAATAGTTCTTCGCCATTCTCTTAACGATGTTTACCTTAATAAAGAAAAATAACAATATCAAAATAATATTATTGATCACTATTTTAATACTACTGCGTTGAGTGTTTATATTCGAAGAAATCTCTTTGGAAAATCTGAGGTTTTACAAATCCAACTCATTGTAAACAATAGCGACATTTCTCTTCTTTGAAGAACTTACAGATATGAGTAGTCTGGTTTTCATACCTAATTTTTTGGGAAGGAATTCATTGTATTAATTGAAGAAAAAGTTTTATTTGTTTGTATATATATGAGACAAACGATAAACGTATTAACCCTTTTTATTGAAAAATTCGATAAATATGGAAGGTTACATGCATCAAAACTATTAGCTATGGTGCAGGACACTTATAATCATCAAAATTTACAGGTGTTTTTAAAATGTATCAGCTCCCCCAATTTTTGTGCTACAAAAAAAATAAACCGTGAAAATGATAGATTGAAACTTCCTCTTTCAAACTCACGGTTTACTTTTTAAATTGCATAATATTTTGGGGGAGTTGATAGGGTTTGAAAATGATTGATTTTATTATTACACAGGTAGACTCAATAAGTCGGTCCCTCGATAAGTCGGTTTTGGCCTAAGTCAGCCAAAATTTTTCAGCCCTTTTTTTCCCTATTTAAAATCCCTTGATAAG